CAGGATGGTCTCGATCTCCTGACCTCGTGATCCGCCCGTCTCGGCCTCCCAAAGTGCTGGGATTACAGGCTTGAGCCACCGCGCCCGGCCATTTTTTGTAGTTTTAGTAGAGACAGGGTTTCACCATGTTAGCCAGGATGGTCTCGATCTCCTGACTTCGTGATCCACCTGCCTCGGCCTCCCAAAGTGGAAACAAACATATTTTTAAAAAAGATTTTGATAGCACTTTTGTTTGTTTCCCTGCCCCCCACCCCCCACCCCACCAGGAGTGAACCCAACAACTCCAGAAGCAGAAGAAAACCTCAAGTCTTGCCTCTCGGCTGATATCCAGTCCAAGGGCCATCTCCCATCTGGCATGTGGAGGCAGCCTAAGGATGGTAAAGAATGGGGTGAAGAATACGTCACGAAAGACCACCCAGATAAACTCAAGGAGGCTGGCCAGGGTAGACACAGCTCCTTGGAAAACGTTTTATGTGAAACCTCCTTAGCTGGTAAGTTCCAAGGGGGAATGCAGGCTGATAGTTTAACGAACGGGATGTACCAGAGCTTTGAACTCAAAGGTGAGAATCCTTGCAGTTCAGATTCAGTGGATACATGAGGCCACCGAATTCCTGGTTTCCTTTTCAGATGAACTAAAGCCTATAGAGGTAAAGGGACTCATTAGAGGTCACAGGGCCAGTGACTACCACCTTGATTCTGCGTGTTCAAGACACTTAGTAATGGAGTGCTATGGGGGGGAAAAAGGCATAAGATTGGTGGAGAAGAAGGCAGAACTATTTAGCCAGTGATGTAGAATCTTCTAGAAGCAAGCCTTTCATCAACAGTCTACCACCAAAATATCACACACTGCAAGAGAACCTGTCCTCCCTCCTTTTTCCCTCCTTCCTTCCCTTCATATCACAAATCATTGCTGAACACTTACTGTGTCAGACAATGGCATTTCCCCCTGGCATTTTGGGGGAGGTAATTTTTTAAAATTATTTTGAATTTTTTAAATCAAATACATGAAAAGTCAAATAGTATTAAAAGGTTTGTTATGAAGAAGAGCACCAACAATTTTAAACTCTTTTGACAGTTTTTTCTGGTACTTGCTTCCATGTTTTCTTTTGGGGGACATGGGGGAGGGAGAATGGCAGGCTCAGGCTGGGTACGCAGTCCTCCTGTGCTTCTATGTTTTTAAAATATGTTTAGCCAGGCGTGGTGGTTCATACCTGTAATTCCAGCATTTTGGGAGGACAGGGTGGGAGGATCTGTTGGGCTCAGGAGTTGGAGCCAGCCTGGACAACATAGTGAGAACCCTGTCTCTACAAAAAATAAAAAAACAAATTAGCTGGGCCTCCTGGCATGTGCCTGTGGTGCCTGCTACGTGGGAGTCCAAGGTAGGAGGATCACTTGAGCTCAGGCGGTCGAGGCTGCATTGAGCTATGATAGCGCCATTGCACTCCAGCCTAGGCAACAGAACAAGACCCTATCTCAAAAAAAAAGAAAAACAGTTTGACACTATTTTTTTTTTACTAATACTTTATTGAAAGTGAATTTACATAGAGTAAAATTCACAGAGCTTACATTTAAGCTAATAGACATTTCACATATGTCTATCCCCTGTGATCACCACCCGATCAAGATATACATATTTCTGTGCATGAAAGAATCTGAGAAAGTTATTTCATGCACTTTGCCGGTCAATATCCACCCAAAGAACCACTATTGTGACTTCTAGTACTACAAATTAGTTTTGTCTGTTCTTAAACTTCATGTAAATGGAATAATATGGTGTGTACTCTTTTGTGTCTGGCCTCTTTCTCCCAACATAATGTTTTTTAAAAAAAGATTTATGCATATTTTTGCACACAATTCATTCCTTTTTATTAATCACATTGAATAAATTTATCACATTTTAAAAAATCCATTCTCCTGTTGATGGACATTTTTTTTTTTGAGACAGAGTCTTGCTCTTTCACTGAGGCTGGAGTGCAATGTCGTGATCTCAGCTTCCTGCAACCTCTGCCTCCTGGGCTCAAGTGATTCTCCTGCTTCAGCCTCCTGAGTAGCTGGGATTACAGGCATGCACTAGTGCATCTGGCTAATTTTTGTATTTTTAATAGAGACAGGGTTTCACTGTGTTGGCCAGGCTAGTCTCGAAATCCTGATATCAAGTGATCTGCCTGCCTCGGCCTCCCAAAGTGCTGGGATTACAGGCGTAAGCCACCATGCCTAGCTAGCTATGAATATTCTTGTACAAATTTTTTTTTTTTTTAGCGGGTGGATATATGCCCTCATTTCTCTTGGGTGTATAACTAGGAGTGAAATCTTTGGGTTGTAGGTTATGATTATGTTTACCTTTAAAAGAAAATGCCAAGCAGTTTCCTAAAGCAGTTGGCTAATACTCCCACTAGCAATGTATGAGAGCCCAGTTACTTCACATACTTTCCAATACTCTGGAAGGATGTTTAATCTTTTCCATGTTAGCCATTCTCAGGGAGGTGTACTGGTATCACACTGTAGTTTTAATTTGCATTTGCCTGGTGATTACTGGTATTAAGTATGTTTTTGTATGCTTATTGGCTATTCATATATCTTCTTTTATAAAGTGCCTAAGTAAGTCCATTGTCCAACTTTTTTTGAGGCAAGGTCTTGCTTGTTGCCCAGGCTGGAGTGCAGTGGCATGATCACAGCTCACTTCAGCCTTGATCTCCTGGGCTCACGTGATTCTTCCTTCTCAGCCTCCCAAGTAGCTAGGACGACAGGTGTGCACCACTGCACCCAGCTGTCAATTTTAAACTCTTAAAATAGCTCATGACTTTCTTGTCTTTCTAGGAAATACTTGCTATTTCACAGTTGTGAAGATACTCTGGTATGCTTTCTTCTAAAATCTTTATAGTTTTAGCTTTAACATTTAGATCTATGACTTATCATGAATAAATTTTGATGTACAGTGTGAGAAAGGGCTCCAGGTTCATTTTTTTTCCCCCCGATGGCTATCCAGTTGTTTCAGCACCATTAATTGAAAATACCTTCTGTTTCCCATTGTTGCATGCAGAAAGTCAAGTGGTCTTATATGGGTATCTAATTTTAGACTCTCTTTTTAAAAATTCCAATTATCAGGTAATTGACATCTTGACAGTATTGAGTCTTCCATTTGAAGAACATGGTATATCTCTTCATTTATATAGATCTTGAATTTTTCTTAGCAATATAACAGAAACTTTACTATTTACATCATCAATGTTTTTAGTTTTTAATTTATTTTTATCCATTTAGTTTTTAAGAGGTGGGGGTTTCCCTTTGTTGCCCAAGCTGGCCTCAACATCCTGGGCTCAAGTGATCCACCTGCCTCAGCCTCCCAAGTAGCTGGCACTACAGGCACAAGTCACTATGCCCAGCCATCTTTTCTTTTCTTTTTTTTTTAAAGAGCATTTGCCTCCGTCATCCTATTCTGCTTTGGCCCAATGTACTGCCATCATCCTGGGACTTTCCAGTCTTCTTAAGAATTCCCTTTATATTTCTCCTCTGTTCGATTTCTGTTTCTGTGTTGCTGTTATTGATTTTTTTCATCTTCTGTATCCTTGGTTTCTTGGTTTACTTCCGGCTTTGGTGGAACACATCATCCAGTAGCTTCTGCATATGTAATCACTTGGCAGGTCCTTCTTACCAGCTTGCTGTGCAGGTGGAGCTGACTTACTGCAACTGCTGTATTGCAATTGAGAAAGAGTTGAATAAACATACAGCAAGCTACGCAGCAGACTGGAGTTTATTATTCAAATCAATCTCCCTGAAAATTCAGAGACTGGAGTTTTTTTAAGGATAATTCGCTGGGCAGGGGGTTATGGAATGGGTGCTGTTGATTGATTGCAGATGAAATCACAGCGATGTGGTCCTCATATGCTGAGTCAGCCTCTGGGTGAGGGCCACAGGACTGGTTGAGTTACGGGTTGTGGGTCCAGGTGGAATCAGTCAGCTTCCAGAAATGGAAAAGTCTGGAAAAATGTCTCAAAAGACCAATCTTAGGTTCTACAGTAGTGATGTTATCTATAGGAATAACTAAGGAAGTTACAAATCTTGTGACCTCCAGAACAATGGCTGATTATCATTTAACTATGCTTACATCTTAGTGTAATTCATAATATGAATTTATAATTCATAATCTGAACCTTCTGACCTTTCATTAGTTTTTCAGAGCTAGTTTGGGTACCAAATTGGAGGGCATGGGGTTAGTTTTGGGAAGGGCTATTAGCATCCTTGCTTTAAGTTGAATTATGAACTAAATTGCTCCCAAAATCTCAGCCTATGCTCAGGAATGTACAAGGGCAGCTTGAAGTTAGAAGCAAGATGGAGTCAGCTATGTCAGATTTCTCTTGCTGTCATAATTTTGCAAAAATGTTTTTACATAGTTGATTAATAATTTGGCCAAATATGACATCTTTTTTCCTCATGATTTTGAAGCAATTGTTCCACTGTCCTCTACCTTCTAATTTTGCTATTAGGAAGTCCAGTACCATTCTGATACTCAGTTTTTTGTATGTTACCTAATTTTTCTTTTGCTTTCTTTTTTTTTTTTTCTTTCTGAGATGGAGTCTCCCACTGTCACCCAGGCTAGAGTGCAGTGATCTCAGCTCATTGCAACATCTGGCTGCCAGGTTCAACTGATTCGCTTGCCTCAGCCTCCCAAGTAGCTGGGACTACAGCCGCCCACCACCACACCTGGCTAATTTTTGTAGTTTTAGTAGAGATGGGGTTTCACCATGTTGGGCAGGCTGGTCTTGAACTCCTGACCTCGTGATCCACCCGCCTCGGCCTCCCAAAGTGCTGGGATTACAGGCATGAGCTACCATGCCCAGCCCGTTACCTGATTTTTCTATCTGGTAACTTTTAGGATCTTCTCTTTGTTCGTGGTGTGCTAAAGTTTCACAGTGATGTAATATGCCTTATAATGATGTGAGTCTTTTTCATTAATTTTGCTGGGCACAAGGGTCCTTTTCTCTGGAAATACATGTCCTGGGAATTTTTTTTTCCCTGTTATTAATTTGATAATATCTTCTCATCCATTTTCTTTCTTTTCTCTGAAACTTCTACTAATTTGATGTTGGACCTCTTGGATTGATTTCTCAACTGCCATCTTTTGCTCTTCTCTTTTTCTTCAATACATCTCTTTCTTATCTTTTTTTTTCTTTTCTTTTCTTTTTTGAGACGGAGTCTTGCTCTGTCATGCCCAGGAGGACTGTAGTGGCACGATCTCAACTCACTGCCACCTCTGCCTCCCAGGTTCAAACTATTCTCCTGCCTCAGCCCCCTGAGTAGCTGGACAACAGGCACACGCCACTACGCCCAGCTAATTTTTGTGTTTTTAGTAAAGACGGGGTTTCACCATGTTGGCAAGTCTCGATCTCTTGCCTTGTGATCCACTCATCTCGGCCTCCCAAAGTGCTGGGATTATAGGCGTGAGTCGCCGCTCCTGGCCCCTCTTATCATTTTTATTTTTTAAGAAAGGGAGATTTATTTTACTTCATCTTCTACCCTTTTAATTTTTTCTATCTTTTAAGCAATGTTTAAAAGTTTCTCCTTTTTAAAAATTAGCCTCTCTTTTTAAAAATAGTATCCTGCAATTGTTAAATGACTGGAATATATTTCTTATATTCCTTTGAGAATATGAATTGTAAGATTAAAAATTTTTATTCTTTTGTATCCTGCATTGTCTCTGTTTCTTCAGGGTCCTCCCTCCTTATAAAAAAATATGTATGTATATGCTTTTTTCTTCTCATTCTTTTATGGTATAAGCTTTATTCAAAAGTGTGAGCATTCTTAGCTAAATATATGTAAGAAAGAACTCTTAGAAAAACTCTGGAAATTTTGTATTGGCCAAGCTTGTCAATCAGTGGGCTTCATTATGGATAGGCTAATCAGATGGCAAATTAACTTTTGATAGTTGACCTCTTTTTCTTTTTTGAGACAGAGTCTTGCTCTGTAGCCCAGGCTGGAGTGCAAGGGTGCGATCTCAGCTCACTGCAACCTCCACCTCCTGGGTTCAAGCAGTCCTCCCGCCTCAACCTCCTGAGTAGTTGGGATTACAGGCATGTGCCACCACGTCCGGTTAATTTTTGTAGTTTTAGTAGAGATGGGGTTTCACCATGTTAGCCAGGCTGGTCTCGAACTCCTGACCTCAGGTGATCTACCCGCCTCGGCCTCCCAAAGTGCTAGGATTACACGGGTGAGCCACCGTGCCTGGCTGATAGCTGACCTCTTTATATCAGTGTCTGTGGATCTTTTTTCCTTGGGCAGTTCAGTTTCTCAAGTGGGAGGCCCTCCAATCTCCTGCCTGAAGAGTTTAAACCTGGCTGCTGCTGGCACTCTGGGATCTACAGGGGAAGGAGGCTGAGGGAAGTCTCGCTGTTCAGTATGAAGCCTTCCCTGAGTCCCTGTGTTTTCATTTTAGCATCTGAACTCTACTATGTCGTAAGTCTTTAGCCCAGATCCCAGAAACCAGGGCTTGTCTAGTTTCATTTTTCTTGTTTGCCGTGGAGAGGAAGTGAGGAAGCCATCTGGTATGGGGGTGAGGATCTGGAGGTTCAATTGCCCCATATGTAGACTTTCAAAGATTGCTCCTGCTTTCAGCATTGCCACTTATTTGCACTATCTATATTGCCCCTGGTGTCTCCAATCCTTGAGCTTTCTAGATGCTTCTCAGCAGATTTTCCAGCTGCAGATGGGGACACCAAGACTTTGTGCCCTTTGCTCTGCTGAATGAATTATGGTGCCTCCATTCTGCTTTCTACCTTTCAAAAACTTGCAGATGGTTTTTTTTTTTTTATTGTTTTCAATATCCTTTTATCGCTTTTATTGCTTGCATTTAATGGGATTTTAGGAAGAAATGGTTAATATCAAGTCCTTCTTTGGTTTGTTTCTAAAGCTAAAAGACAGACTGTGGCCCTGGAACTGCTTGAATCTGAAAGAAAATATGTCATTAACATCTCTCTGATCTTGAAGATAAAAGCCACATTCCAGGGGTCAGATGGAAAGAGGAATTCCAAAGAGAGAAGGTATCCATGCACTCATTGCCTTTGCTTTTCAGATTGATTAGGATTTAAGGTAAGTGGTTTATTGTTTCCACTTTGGGATTTCTGGGGCCTATAAAGAGTTCCAGAAACAGTCTTTGAAAAGACAAGAGGCAGTGATGGCAGGTGTCTCGGTTCACTTTGTGCTGCTATGAGAGAATATCATAGACTGAATAAGTTATAATGAACCGAAATTTCTTCTCTCACAGTTCTGTAGACTGGGAAGTCTAAGATCGAGGCGCTGGCAGATTCAATCTCTGGTTCCAAGATGGCACTTTGTTGTTGTGTCCTCCAGAGAGGAGGAACATTGCAGCCTCACACGGCAGAAGAGCAGGAGAGAGCAGGAGAGAGCAGGAGAACCCACTCCCTCAGGCCCCTTTTGTAGTGGCAATATCCATTCACAGGGCGGAGCTTTCACGACCTAAACGTAATCCATTCACGGGGCGGAGCTCTCACGACCACAACGTAATCCATTCACGGGGCGGAGCTCTCACGACCTCAACGTAATCCATTCACGGG